AAAACATTAAAGGCGAAACCGCGAGCCGCCACTTACTCCTTTTAACGAAGTGCATAATTAAAAGCTACGGTCTACACACGCGGCTTTAGATCCGTTCGCGCGAGCGAACGAGCGAGCGGGCGGGCGGGCGGAAAAAGAAAGTGTGACAGAGTAACTTTACTTTGTGCCTATTCATTCACATCCTCGATTACATTGCGCTTGCATGTCCACGTGTGCCGGGCGCGATATCGCTGGTAAAATCTAATTAATCGGCTAAGAATACTCGCGTGAAGCTTGTCGGGGGAACGAATCGCTGGTGTAACGTGACAAGCGCGAGCGGGCGAGCGGACGAGCGCGTAAATGTAGCGCTGAGAGCTGCGGCCGAGAGAATAAAGCTCGCGGTAAACACGATCGCGCGAGATCTCGCGGCGTATCGCTCCCGTGTACGTTCTTATCAGTTTCCATTTGAGCCGTGTGCAGTGAAAAAGATTCTTGTCATCAAGCGCGCGCGCGCGCGCGCTCGTCCGAGTCTCGGTTTCAATTCGTATACGCGAATAGGTCCGAATTGCCCTCGAGTTTTCTTCGACCGGCCGATCCGTAGATCAAATTCGTCCTGTGGTTTTAAAGTATCCGAAAAAATATCCCCCTTTCCCCATTTCTCCCCGGATTTCTTCCGCTTCTGTCCCGAGACCGCAACGATTTCTTTTGGAAAAGTTCACACACGTTCGGTGAAAATTTGCCGTACTTACTTCTCTCCGATAAAACTAACGGTATTGCAAACACTTGATCGCCTATTTGATCATTTGAATACCTCGCGGAGAGAAATATTTTTCTCGCTAGCACAGCAAATTGTTAATTACCATAGTGACAGCGGAAAAAATCTGTCGGATAGCAAAAAGATATATTTTCAACAGCAAAGAGATTTGTTAAGAGTATTAATTGCTATCTGCTGGCCATACGGACAGCAAAATAAATTGGCTGCGCCAACTAAATTTAATCGCTGTCGCAACAACGGCTTTGCCACAACGACAAAATTATTTTTTCCCCATGCGGCAAATCTTTTTGCCGTTCCCATAGTGACTGACAATTTTCTGCGTCGGCGAAATTACGTTTTCCCCGGTGCCTATTTAGTCAACCTTAATATTGATATCGGGTTTACCGTTCATGAGTGAAAAGTCGGCTCGCGGGACCGACTGGAACGAAACGCGGGATAAACCCAACGTAGAACGCGGCGGGAAGGTTAAACGCCGCGACGAACGAACGAACGAACAAACAGAGCCGCGTTCCATTCGCGAGATATTGCGCGCACGAAACCGCGCGCCGTTCCGCGAGGCGTCTCGCACGGGGGCGGCCGATCGGCTGCCGATGGAATTTCCGCGTACGCAATCCGCTCTCGCTACGCTCCTGTCGATATATTCCTCCTCATAACAACCGGCTATCAAGCGGCACGCTAACGTACATACACCCGACACCGGCGTCGACGACCCCCGTAAAAAGAGGCTAAAAACGGCAGAAACGGCTGGAAGAAAAATGAACGGAACGCGAGATCGAAACGCGCCCAACAACAAACACTCGCACGTCACAGAGAGAGAGAGAGAGAAAGAGAGCAATGGCGCTTCGCGGATCGAAGAATCCGCGAGAAATCGCGTCGTGGCCGATCGGCTTCCCAGTTGCGACGGAAAAATAAAAAGAGAGAGAGAGAGAGAGAGATCCGTCCTGTCGAATTTGGAAAGAATGATCCTCCGAGTTTTCGAGAGTTTCGAGACACGAGAGAGACCGCGAGAAGCGAGTAAAGTGAAACCCGCGTTAGTATCGAGTGAGAGAAAGAGAGAGAAGATTCCAGACGAAAAATATGTGTGCTATAATGTATTCTATTCAAACGGTAATTACTGCATAATTTTTGTATGCTCCCTCTCTCTCTCTCTCTCTTTCTCTCTCACTTTCTCATCTCTCTTTCTCGCTTTCTCACTCTCAGTCGCTATCTCGTTCCATTGGTTTTCCTCGTTTCTCGTTCTGGTTCTTTCGTACGAGCCGCGCGGCAACACCCGTAAATCTATCCACCACACAGGTAATCGCTGTTTGCCGGTGTCAAGCGTAGCCCGACGTTGAATTCGTCGTTGATAGACGATTATCGTTACCGCCGCCGTGCGTCGATCCGCAATCACAACCGAACGAACCCTGGCATTAGCGGACCATTCAGCGCCGCACGCATGTTTGGGGTCAACCGATTACGGTATTCCTTTTTTTCCGCCTCCCGCGCGCTTGTTTTATTCTCCCTTTTTTCCCTCGTGTTCACCGGTTTTCCCGGTGTTTTTTAGGACGCGAGTGAAACAAAATAAAGCGATTATGGGCAGCAACTATTTCGCGATGTGCAAATATATATTTCGCAAATTTCACAATAACAAACATTTCGCGAAAACACTGATATTCAGGTTTCGATGAAATATTACTTATTTCGAGCAATTTTGAAATAAATGCGCACGAATAAAACAACATTCGCAGCGTCATCAATTTTTCCTTCTGCTTTTTTTGTTCTCTTCCTCTCTCTCTCTCTCTCTCTCTGCCCCTCCCTCATTCTCCCCTTTCCCTCTCTTTCCGTCACGGTTCGGAGCGAATATCCACACACGTGTAAAGCAGAATTAAACAATTTATGAATTTAATAAGCGGACGAATAATAAAACAAGCGGCGCGATATCGCGTGCAGAATCGCGAAAATTTTACACCGGGTTTCGAAGCGCGCGAAAAATTCTTACGTTTTTTTTAATATCCGACGCGACACGGCGCGGAAAAAATATCAATGGCGATTCACGCGCGTTTCGCCAATTAATTCGCGTGCCGCGGCCCCGACTCGATCGCCGCTAGTTAACCGTGCGATACGTGATCCGGAAAGAGCTAATTTGTTCGCGCTACGAGCGGGAATACCGACGCTATAATCGCCGCCGCGCATTGTTGAGAAACGCGACGGGAAAAGAGCACACGGCTCGGCGAGGGAGAACCGCGAAGCCGGTATTCACCGTGTGGAATCTCCCAAGCATCGTCCGGCAACAATCGAACGGTACTCGGGCGATATTAACCCTTTTAGTGCCGGAGGCCGATATATCGGCCCTCGCTGCACTGGCGAAAAGTGCCAGAGCCGATATATCGGCCCGCACCTTGTAGCGCTTTACTATTCGCATTGCGAGAGATCTCTATCTCAAAATAAATTTATAATACGTTATAAATAGTCTAATTTCATTACGAGAGAATGAAAATAAATAATTTTTAAATATTGCTTTTCGTTTGGTTTTTATGAGCCTTTTACCAAATCCTAGTAAAATCGTAAAATTCGGCCGGTTATCTTCGCATAAGCACCTCTTTTTCGCCCGGCATTAAAAGGGTTAAGGGACGTTCGAATCGCCAAAACAAGTCTTAACACGGAACGCAACTAGGTTATTAATCCCAGGTACAGGTGAACTAAACACAGTCAATGGCAGCACTTTCATCTCGGCAACGTTCGCGACAGGCCCGTATTCAGTAGCGATAGAGTTTGTTTCTTGGTTTCCTTCAGAATTAGCGTTTAATCCCCGGAACGAAAATTCTTTCACATGCGTATCCGATATCAAATTAGTTTCTCAGTTTTTCAGAATTGGCCTTTAATCGTCGGAAAAGGTAATTCTTGCTCGACAATATCCATACCCAATGGCGGAATTCGTTTCTTAATTATTGAAAATTCGTCTTCGATTCGCAGATAAGAGAAATTTCGTCTCGACCAACTTCGCAAGATATCTGTATCCGAGAGCGGAATTTGCGTCTTAGTTCTTTAGAATTCGTTTTTAAGAAACTTATTGAATATTTGATAGAAAATAACTTTTTTCACAAGAAATTTCGCAATGATCTGTATCCGACGGAGGACTTCGTTTCTTTAGAATTGGTTTCTAATTTCCAAAACATAAATTTCTCTCTACCGAATACTGGCTATATTCTATATTCGATCGAGAACAAAGCGCCGCGATCTTTCCGCCACTGACTAGACGCACCGTTGACTTATTATTCACAGTTCTTAGTAATTCTATAGTTTTAAAGTTTCGGAGAAAACCCGTACTTTTCCCCATTTTTCCGCGGATTTTTTTCCGTTTCTTATCCTCTTTACGCCCAAAAAAGTCAATACAGCGGGCTTTAATTGAACGCACGTGGAAACTTGCCAAACGAATTTCCCACCCTTAAGAGCAGAAACCGAAGAGATCCGCGAGAAAATCGGGAAGAAACGTTTGTTTCCCCGAAACTTCCGCGGGGAAACACTCAAAAACAATATAACAATCATTATTCACCCGATTGTCCGGAAAAAAAAGCGCGAACGATGTGAGACAAACCGATGTCCGTCCGCTGGGGGAGCTGCGGGACGGGAAAAATTCCAAAGAGAAATGCGATACGGTACAGTAGTAAGCTTCCCATAAAGTAGCGAGCTAATTGCCCCGGGTGTTAAGGCCCTTCAGCCGGTGATATCCGGACCGGGTAGGAATCGTCGGGCGAGAAGGTGGAAGCGGCGTTTCCTTACGTCGGCTTTCGCCGCGGCCAGTAGTTAGTGTGCGCGCCTGGTCAGCCGCGCGGCCGGACCGCTTAAGACGCACGCGGCTGTTAACCCTTTTGCGTCCGACGACCTGCGGTCGCTCTCCGCCTCTCTCTCTCTCTCTCGTTCTCCCCGGAGTTTACCCTCGCTCCGCAACTACTCCAAGAGTGGCAGTCACCGGCTCCCGCCGGTGGCTGAACGATATAAGGCATCGCTTCGCTTGGCGCGACGCGACGAGATGCGACGCGATGCGCGTACAGCCCGACTGTTACTCTCGCGCGCGACCGTCCTTCGATTCACCTGCCTACCCTCACGCCGAGCGGGCGACCGACCGACCGTCCGTCCGTCCGTCCCTCCTACGCTTCACGGCGTTGCCCCCTCTTCTCCCGCCCCTGAGTCCTTCCCCCTCCACCGAAATCGATGCTACTCGCGGATCGCGACTTCAGTCTGCGACTGGCAACCGCGCGTGTAACATCGTTCCTTCCTGTTCCCTCTCCGGACCGCGCGCGCGCCCGTCGCTTTCTCTCGCCCGTTGCTCTCGCCGCGAGAGAGAGAGAGAGAGAGACAGAGAGAAGAAGAGAGCGGTCCGTTTGCGCCTCGAGGCACTCGGAATTCTCTTCTTTCTTTTTTTCCCCCCCCCCTTTCTTCCCGCCCTTTCCGACAGAGGAGAGTCGGCGGGAAATTCGTCCCGTCCGCGCTTTCCCTGCGAGACGACGACGCCGTCAGCGGATTTCCGGCTGGTGTGCCCGCTTGGGACGGTTTCGGGGGAAGGGGGTGAGAGAGAGAAAGGTGGATAAGATGAGAGCCGATGTCGTGTCGACGATGATCCAACGCCAGCGGACGCACCGCCGTCGAGCCTTATCGGAGCGATCTTGAGGCGGTCGGATGTGCAGCGACGCGCGGAGGATAACGACGACGCGGGACGACGGGACGACGCCGGCGGAATCGCTCATTCGGTGCGTAGAAATTTATGCTTTCCGCCTAACCGCCCTCTTGCCCTCTCGGGCAGCCTCCGAGAGTCCGGCCGCCGCGGGGTGACGTGCGTTTGAACGGACTCGCGCGCGCGCGCGCTCTGAAAATTATCAGCTCGGCCGAGACGCGCATCGAGAAGCGGACGGAGTTGCGCTCGTTTCCTCGGGGGTCCTACGGTGTGTCGTCACGTAGGACGTGCCGACCTCTACGGAACGTCCGACGGAGCCCCGCTTCTCGGCCCGGCGGTTTCCACGGTAAAGAAACTCCCACGGTTCTCGTGAAGAAATTTCTCCGAGAGCCGTCGCATCTTCTTGGTGAGCGCGCGCGAGAGCGAGCGAGGTGGGCTCTCGATAATGAAAATTCGAGATGAAAATTCGATACGCACGGGTGAGCGGAGGAACATTGTCCGCGCGCGATCATAACTCGCGGATCTCACGAGAACGCCTAAAGAACCGTTCACAATGGCCGTAGGGTATGCGGTAAGACGTAAGCAGTGAGCTAATCGACCAACCATAGTCGATTATGCTTACTGTAAGAATCCAATTGGTCAATCGGCCTGGTGCCTGCGTCTTATCGCTTACTTTAAGCGGTGTCTATAATAAGAATTTAAGTCGTAAGGTACGAACATAGAAAAACGTAAAGCAGTAAGATGCAAATAGTAAGCGAATTGATTGATCATAATCAACTATTGTCCTTATGCTTTGGGAATAATCGACCGTGGTTGGTCAATTTTCTTGCCGCTTAAATCTTACTGATTAAGCTCTAAGCCTTGAGCCAAAAGAAATTGACAAGTCACAGTCAAATGTGAGGAGAATAATCGACTGTCCAATTTTTTACAACTTAAGGCTTAAAGTTGAACCTTTTGTCCACAACTTTGCTTCGAGACGTAAACGGTAAGCAAATTTACCAGTCACAGTCGTTTATTAAAAGAATAATCGACTCCGGTTGATCAATTTGCTTACGGCTTAAGGCAAAGTTGCAGACAAGGCTTAAGTCTTACTTTAAATTCTCATTATAACTTTACGACTATTGCAGACGGCCTTTAAAACGGGATCTACAGTGAGAATTTGAGTCGTAACATTTAAGAAATTGACCGATCATAATTGACTTTTCTCTTATAATTCGACCGTAATTGGTCAATTTCTTGAGTCTCACGTCTTAAGTCCTCATTGTAGACCTCGCTTAAGCCTTGGTGCACAACTTCGCTTCAAAGTGTAAGCAGTAAACGAACCGACCAACCACGATCGATTATTCTTTCGGTAAACGACGGTCACCACTCAATTTGCTTACGTGCTCACGTCTTACGTCCGTTTCTACCATCATAACTCAAATCTAACCGACGATTAACTCAACCGAACGGACCGATCGGCTCAGCTAATCGGTCAATGCGATCGGTCAGTTCCGTCGGGTTACTCGTCGATCAGATTTAAACTATGACGTTAGATACGGGCATTAAAGCAAGGATGTGGACCAAGGCTGAGGAAATTATAACCAGTAGAAATCGAGCGTCGCTTGTTGCCCGTCGCCGTCAGTGTCCGTGACCGCGGCTAGTAGATGAACACGCGATTAGTCGGGCGCTCGGTCGGCCCCGTCGCGGACGAGTTCCACTTGGCGTCGAGGAGACCGAATCTCCGGTGGAGCGCGCGGAATCGCGCGTAAATTCGCGGATTAGCGCGTAAAAGAGGAGAAAGAAGAAGGGGAGGGGGGGNAGGGGAAGGAAAAGCGGTCGGCTGTACCAGGCGGCGGCGACGGTCGCGGTAAGTGGACGAGTGCGCGATTGGTCAGCCCAGGTCGGCTTTGCCGCGGACGTTTCGGTGACAGTTTCCATTAGGGCGAACCGTAATACCCCGACAAGTCCGCTGGCGGCGGGCTCTCTCGCACGTCGCACCGCAAGAAATTTCATTCCTCTGTCACACATACCCCCCTAACCCCCCCCCCTTTCCCA